TTTCGCTTATACACCCATGTTCTGCATATTCTTTAAGCTTGATATCGTGTACAATTCTACAGTTTTGAAACATGCTTTTGTAATTGCATATTGTTTTTCCATATTTATATTATCTGGTTTTAGTGCTCTTCCTCTTCATTTGCAGGTATGGGCCATTCTGGATATGCACTACGTTAATATTCGTAGCAGCTTCAATAGGGACTTTCGTCACGTACTTGGCACACAAGTTTCAGGATAAAGAATGGGATTATGATATTAACCTGGTCACATGGTCTGCTGGTTTATTCTATGGTTATGTCACTATTGTTCCTCTTGGATTATACATTATTCTCAAGTACTTCTCAGCTCCTTTAGGACTTGTGCAACTTTGGTGCCTCTATGGATACTCCTTGTTTATTTTCATTCCAGCCTTGGTAAGTGTGAATGCTAAGTAAGATTTATGGTCCATTTGGGACAGTTTTTTCATAATTTTATTTTCCAAATAGCTTCCACCGATCTATGATGAGAAACACTTTTTATAACTTTTTTGCTGCTATATTGTGATAGTTGTAAGAGCGTTATTGTCCCATTTTTTCAAAATGGTAAATAATATCCACAACTTCCTGGAATAGTTCTACAACTATGTTTACAAATGACTATAGCCTCCTCAAATGAAAAAAAATTATTATTTGCGATATCCGGATGTGTCTGGAGGTCAATCCAGATGCGCCGCATCACCCAATGCAGTTGGCTGATGTGGCGCATCCGGAGTGGCCTCCGGACTCGACTCCGCACAGAATAATCTTATGGTCCTGTTTGACATAATGTATCATGTGGGAAGTTATTTGCTACTATCAATATAAACTTCTGACGATCTTATTATTATTATTAACATCATCATCATCACTTTTCAGTGTCTCTCGGTTGTGCCTGTGGAAGCATTCAGATGGGTGATTGTAGGCATTGCTGGACTCATGTCAGGATCTTTTGTTGCTCTAAACCTTCGCAGTCACATCAGTTCTGCTGGTGAGAGATGGTTTCTTATAGTGGTGGGCATATTTTTACTCCAGTTGGGTCTTTCAGTAATTTTGAAGCTATATTTCTTCACAGTTACTGTATGAAAAATGTAAGATATCTCATTATTATTTGAAATTGTTTGATAATTGAGAAGAGAACAGCTTTAGCTTCCATTTTTTCCATATTGTAATTGGTACGATTGTCTTTAGCTCATGAACGTTCTAGTAATTGTTCTATTCTTCTATGTTTTACAAATGGCAACTGTATCTCTATTGGCTTTTGTGGGATTATGATAATTTGATTCTTTATGTTAATACTAGCACAAAATTCCAATAAAATTTTGTTTTTTGTTATGCCGCTCCAGCATGGACCGGCTCAACCTGGACTGGCCCAGCCGGTCCGGGTTTTCTCCAGGCGAAGACAGCCCAGAGACCAGGCGGAAGGAGGAAAGGGGGTTGGG